CGAAGGAAAAGAATATGGTATAGCCGGGGGTAAAATTTTTAGAGGTGCTGCTGCAGTGAAACTGGTACTTCCTTAAAAATAAGACATGTGTGTATGACTCAAACCAATGAAAGCTGGAAGAGTCCCCACGAGGGACACTCCCTCTATGTCTTGTTTCCCAGGCCCCCCTCCCACCTTATATTAAGAACAGAAAGAAGATTCTTGCCAGATAATAAACTTACAGCTTCCTAATAGGTTGGCTCGCCCTCTTTTAATTGGGATTGTAAATACAGCTATTTCAGACGGGAGGATAGAAATTAGTCTGATGGAAAAGTTAGTCGGCTCCGTAGTTACAGCGGGTTGCCAGAAAACAGGGGCACCCGCAAACAAAATAAAACATTGTTGGCTGGAGTTATTGAAGCTGGAAATTTCTGTCTTTCCCAGCATCCTAAACTCGGGGAAATGTAAAGTCCTTTTTGCTTCTTATTTTTGGAAAGAGGTGAAAATGAACCCTGGATAAAGACACCTACACAAACATGATGTAAACAACCGTAGACTTGTCAGGCCTAGTAGCTGCGCGGGCTTTTCAGGCCAAAGGGTGGGTGTTGAAGAGAGTTTGCAAGGAGTGGAATTGGGGGTCCCTTCATCACCCCGAGGCCCCGAGCCCTCCTTGTGGTGTCTTTTTCAGAGCAGCCAACCATCAGATGCTGCTTTCTCGGCGTCCTCAGCTGTAGGGGGCATGAGCAAATATTTAGAAAGCCTGAACGTTTCTGATTTTACGTCATCTTCCTTATATAAAACGTTTGAGCTTAAGGATCCTCAAAGCCAAATTGTTGCCCAGTGTCCTTGAATGGCTGCAGCAGCCCATGAGAGGGAGACACACCTAGGAAATGGAAACTCATGCTGGTGTCACCAGAAAGCCATTTTAAAAATGCATTGGGACGATGGGGGCAGATTCGGCCTCCGCCGGAGGACCTGGCCCCGGCAGGGAAAGGAGTGCGAGGCTGGCCTGAGCCTTCGGGGAGCTGTGCAGCCTGGTGTGAAAGTTTCCTCTGAGGTGTGCCGAAAGCTAGGCTGTCTTGTTGGAATCATGGGTGAGGTCAGTGCCCAGGCCTGTTGGCATCTCTGCCCAAGACAGCCTGGACTGCTGCCAGTGCAGGCCTGAACGTGGCCTCAGAGCCACTGCTGGAGCCCAAACAAGCCCCAGGCAGGTGCCCCGGGGTCTTTCCTCCTGGGACCCAGCCCGCAGCATTTCTTGGCCAGAAGGGGGGTGCTGGGCTCCCAGGGCAGCCTCCTCTGAGACGCTACAGGTTTCCCTGTCCAGTTACCACGTGGGCCCGGGTGAGGGCAGAACACACTTTGTGAAATAAGCACAGTCTCCCAAATGCTCGAAGGGAGACAGAGGGGGTGGTCCTAAGGGCAAATCTGCCTCCAGTCTCGAAGGTTCCGGGGCAGAGCTGTACTTTTGCAGCCCAGGCTGAGGCTCTCTGCTCTCTAGCAACAGGGCTCCCCAGTGATCCTGCCCTTGGGGGGGTGGGGGTAGTGGTGAGGGGGTGAGGCCCAGGGGCAGCAACAAAGCACACACACACAGCTAAGCCACCTGCAAGCTACCTGTGTGTGTTTGCCCCTGTCTTCTCCAGCCAGTGGGCCTCTCATCCACCGGGCGCTGAGCCCTCTTATCACGGGGAAACCTGGGAAGGAAGGCAAGGTTGTAGCCTTAGAGTGGGGAGAAGGCTTCGGGGGACCATCGGTGGGCCAGCTGGGCAGATGAGGGGACATCCGTCTGAGCCCCCCTGGAGGGTGCCCCGAGAGAGAACTGGATGAGCTTTCTGGGAGAGAAGCAGCAGGAGCCCGCTTGGGGAAGGAAGTTGCATCCAGCTCTGAGTCAGCCATTCCCACGGGACTCCCATTGGCCCCAGTAACTGGACACCAGGCCACCAAAAGGCCTCGTGGGCTCCTGATTGCATCTTAGAATGGCACTAAAAGGTCCAGACTGGGCACTCGCAGGCCAGGCCATATTTAGCCTTAGGTTCACCCAACGAATATTTTAGGTGCTGCTTGAAAGAAGAGATCTGGTTGCTGGCTGTCACATGGCCAGTGTAGACTTGCTCCCTCACAGGCCTGGCCCAGACGGCCGGCCGGGTGCTCACTGGCATCTGTGCGGAGTCCCCGCCAGAGACCCAGAGCCACGCGACAGGTGCCAAGGAGCCAGCGAGCGCCCGGGTAGTTGGTTCTGTGTCGGGAAGCTTTTCGCCCCATTTTCATTCTGTTGGCGATAAGGACGCCTCCATTCACAGAACTCACAGAGGCTGTTTTGAGTCCCTCTCTCCTGCGATGGCCTAGTGTGATGGCCCAGTGTGATAGGCCAGCTTGCTGAGTGAGCAGCCTCCTCCTCGGGTGTCAGTGACGGTGGGAGGGGTTAACCCTTTCACAGCCGGGGGTGCTGGTGGGCACAGGGGCCCTGCCTGTGGAGACCTCAGGGCCCACGTGCCCCATGGGAGCCCCTGTCCTGGACTCCTTCCTTAGCCTCAGTTGTTAGTGGTGGGCCCGGAGGGATGGTGCGTGGCCCTGAGCAGTGATTTTCGAGCCTTTTTGCCCCACCAGTGATAACCTCTAGTCTCCCCTAATCAAGTCTTCACCCTCTGTTGGTTGGACGGCCGTGGAAACCGCTGCTCGCTTTCCAGATATTTTCATCCAGGTCTCCCACCTTCCCGGGGAGGAGGTCTGATGGAGTCCTGGCTCACTTAGATCATTAGCGAGAGTTTGGAATAACCGTTGGGGTCTTGGTGAACGTTGCAGGGTCCGGCAAGGACCTGGCATTGGGGAATGACCCCTGGAACCTGCTCTGAGTTTCCAGATCCTGGTTTTCTGGGCACAGACCTGGTTTTCTGGGCACAGAGGCGACACATCTGCGTTGAAGCCGCTGTGTGGAGACGCGTTTAGCCAAATATCAGCCAATCATGATCGGCCTTTGGGGGCCTGGGTGGAGCCACCGTACACCACGAAAGCCTTGGCTTGTTGCAAGTTTGCTCTAACTTTGTACATTTTTTCCTTTTTAGTTTTGGCTCTTGGTGCTCAGAGAGCCACCACTTCCTGCCCAGCTGGTTCATTACCGCAGGGAAAATGAGGGACTTTTGGGGGCAGATGTGTTTCCATTCCACTATCATAATGCCCCTAAAAATCCTTATTGCTCTTGCAGTATTCCTCAGGGGTCCCTGGGCTGGCCCCGGACGGCTGGGAAGATGGCAGGTCTGAGTTCCTCCGGCAACTAAAGAAAGAGAGGAGATGCCCTCCCCACCCCCACCCCATTCCCTCCTCTGGTCCCTGACAGATCTCCCCGCACGGTGCTCAGATGGTTACCACCATCCACAGACACGGGTGGCTACACATGCTGTCTGCCCTGCAGGCACAGGATGTTGGAGATCGGGCCTGGGAAGAAACGGGGTGGCTATGGCTACTGTCTGCATTTGCGTGGGGTTCCTGGGGGGAGGTGGGGAAAGTGGGAAAGAAACAGGTGCTACCTGTTGGACAAGGTGAATTTCACACTCTGCCTGGTGCCTTCCAGCAGGGCCTCTGGGATCCTCGCCTTGGCAAGGGCCCTGGGCAGTGCTGGCTTGCTCACCTGCAACCTGAGACAGACCACTGTCCACTCCCTGCCTCGGTTTCCCTGTCGGCCAAGGGAGGGGCAACAGCCCCTGCTGCGGTCCCAAAGGGTTCTTGGTTGTTCCCAATGTTACAATGAGTTCAAGTTGGTTTACCAGCTGCGAAGGTGCTTTGGAAATGGGGCCGTTAAAGCATTCAGCATGGAAGGTATTAGTGCTAGCATTTAGTTATTGGCACGTGCCAAGTATGCCAAGACAACTCAGACAGGAGGGGAGACTGCAGCCCACAGAAGCTCTGGTTTCTGGAATCAGCCACCCCCAGCTCTGTGTCACCCCAGGCAAGTGACTCAATCTCTCTGAGCCCCCATTTCTCATATACAAAACCCACTTTTAGGAATAGAAGCTTCCCAAGTCTGTGGCACCTGGCTAAATCATTCTAACAGGTATTTATTTGAAGAGCTCATTTCTATTGGTGGCAACCGATTGGTTTTCAATTTTAGGTAGAGATAGAAGCCCCCCCCCTTTTTTACATCAGTTTATGTAAGAGAAAAAGGGTGAGTTGCTTGAAAGAAGAATATTAAACAAAGAATACAGGCGGTATGGAGGATGGAGCAGAAGTCAAGATGGTAGCTTGGTAAAGTTTCCTAGGTCCACTTACTTTAGAGTCCTTTTTTGCTTTAGGGATTTTCAAGATGACCCCGTGTAGTTGGGGTGGGGAGGGGTGTGCTCCGCCCTGACAACCTGGGTGTCACATGTCTTCCCTTGATGGAGTGGGCCCACCCCTTCCTTGCTCTGCAGCATCAATGAGACCCCTCAGACCTCGGCCCCTACACCCACCCATAGCTCTTATTTGTCTCTTATTTCAGGACCATGATGCCCCAGTGCCCTCTTTCCCGGCCAAGGCACCTTCTCAGTGAAATGGGGGGAATATTAAACCCTCCGTGTAGAGCAGGGGCTCAATCAGGCAGCTCTGATGGGTCCCAAAGGGCACCAGCAGCCCTGGGATGGGCAGGGGGCACAGCAGTGCCCTCGGCTTGGAGGGGGGCTCCTCAAACAGGCCCCCCTGTGCCTGGCCGGGGCACCAGCTCCCCGCCCACTCCTGGGACAGTGGCTTGGAGAGGAAGCAGTAAGCGCTGGGTCCCCGCTGGGCAGGGGCAGACTCCAGTTTCACTTTCTGCTGTGTCATGGGGTGGGGGGTGGCATTGGGGCCCAGCTGGCCAGCTGGGGCGGGCACCTAGACAGCTGCCAGCCCAGCTGCCAGAGCACCACCCACACCCACTCCTGCCCAGCAGCCTGCCAGAATAGGGGTTGGGCCCTCGGGCCACCCCTTAACTGCCTCTCCCCACAAAGTGGGGAGAACCTCAAGTGAGAAAAGCCAGGTAATGGGGTGAAATGGTTCCTGTTGATTCTAGATGAGAGCTCTCTGACCGGGCACCTGCTTCCTGCCTCCCTTCGCTGGGCACATGTCTGCTGAGGACCTACTGTGTGCCAAGCTCTGTGACAGGTGCCGGCGGTACAGCAGGGAGCAAGACAGACCCTGCCCTCTTGGGGCTCCCAGTTGAGTCGGGGGGAGACAGATGAAAGAGTAAGCAAAGAAAGAAAGAATCCCCTGTTGTGGGGAAAGTTCCACACTGTAGGCTTGGCGTTAGCATCTCAGGGAGGGGCGTGCATACATGCCTGTCTATGCACATGTGCGTGTCAGCAATGTGTCGGCTCCGGGGACACACAGCTAGATGAAGAACACAGACCTGGGGGCCAGATGTCCCCTGTTTGAATCTGGACTCTTTCACTGACGGGTGTGTGAACTCAGGTGACCTCAGGCAAGTCCCCGCTCCTGAGTTCCCCTGTCTGGGTGCTGGAGTAAAAGTGTCTCCATGACAGAGCTGCAGTGAGGATGAACTAAGCGAACATCCCTAAAGACTAAGGGCTGTGCCTGGCACCGACCATGTGCTAGGTAAGTCTCAGCTCTTATCTAAGAATAATAAATGTGCACTGTTCTTCTAGGAGGCAATGCAGCTGTCCCCGCAGGCTGAGCGCACTGGTAAGATGGTGAGTCCTTCCTCCTCGCTAAGCACTTCCCATGCCGGGTCTCACGGAATGGCCACAACCAACCCGCAGCTGGGCCTGTTCAGATGAGGAAACTGAGGCGCAGGCAGGTGAAGAAATGTGCCCAGTGGTACCCAGCTGGAAAGGCCTTTGACCCCGGGTGCAGGGCCGGCTTCAGGGTTAGGGGCCCTGCACTTGCTTGAATGCTCTGCTGTTGTCATCTTGAAATTCTTAATAATTTTGGAACCAGGCGCTCCGGGTTTTCGTTTGGCAAATTATGGAGCCAGTCTTGCCCGGATCTGACTTACTCCAAATCTGCCACTCTTACCTCCCACCATCAGGCAGCCAGGTCCAGAGTCGTTTTTTTCAGATCATCAATACAGTGTTTAGTGTGGGACTGAAATTCTGGGGAGAAAATGAAGATTTATTATGGGGCCAAATTATCCAAGTAGGCATTTGTTTGTCTGTTGCCCCTATTAGAACACGGGCAGGGACGTTGCCAAGGTCAAGAACCCCAACTCATTCATTGTTATATCCTCACGGCCTAGCATGTATTAGCTGCTCAGTTAATAGATGTGATACAATCAATGAATGGGAGGTTGACCAAACTCCGGAACCAAACCTATTTAAAGGACACCTTCCAGGAAAGCAGGTTGTTAGGGTGAGCCCTGGCCACCTCAGCAGGCTTCTGGACAGCCCTTGACGGGTGTGGAGACACAAGTTTCTTTCCTCTCCCCGACCCAACATGAGTGGTTAAAGGCATGTGGTCCTGGATTCCTGTGCATCTGTTATTGGGGGAAGTGCAGTGTTCAGCTGAAAGAATACCCAGGTTTTTGTTCTGGGCAGGTTCAAGTCCCAGCCAGGGGTCAGGGAGCACAATTTCCTGAACAGCTTATTGAAAGGGGTTGAATTTTTGGATTAAATGTCCTTTTTCCTCTGAAATAAGAGTTCTTACCGTCTCGAAGCTCCAAATTATAAATATTACTGAGAAGCAAAGAATCATTTCAAAAGCCTTTAAGAGATTTATAACAATAATAAACATGCAGACGTGTTTTGTTTTGTTTTTGCCAACGATTTGCATAGGCATTGTCTCCATTGCTTCAGCTAACCCTGTGAAGCAGGAGTTACTGTCCTCATTTCCTAAACGTCATAAGCGCCAGCATATATTGAGCACCAGGCACTTTACCCGTATCAAGTCATGTTAGTTGCACAAGCAACATATAAAGGAGGCACTATTATTATTATCTCTGGCTTTCTGATGAGAAACACGCTTAGAGAGAGGAACTGACACGTCCGAGGTCACACATCCAGCATGTGGTGGGCTGGGCTTCAAGCCCACATCTTCTATCCCAGGGGCCAGCAGCTAAGTATTTTAGGCTCTGCAGGCCACATGGTCTCTGTCCAGCTATTCCACTCTGCCACTGTAACAAGAAACCAGCCATAGATAAACACATGTAAAGGAACAGATGGGTCTGTGCGTTCCCATAAAACTTTATTTACAAAATGCAGGAAGTGGGCCACATTTCGCCCACAGACTATAGTTTGCCCACCACGTTCCAGATCCAAAAACCTGCCTTTCTGTTAGGAAGAACCTGGCCCTGGCAACATTCTTTGCCAGGCCCTCTCCCCACCTGTGAGGTGACTAAGTTACATTTCAGAACAAAGACCACTGGCTCTGGAGCGTTCACGTAGGCCTCCCCTTCCTTGAAGGAATTAGGGAGCTCTTGGAATTCACCACTGCTTAGACTTACTAGTGACTGCTATGATGGAATACCATGGGGATTTTAAGTTGTCATTTTATTATCTGTCAGCTTTGAAAGGGGAAAGTGTTGTAGTGAAAGGAAAACCCTCAGTGGGGCACTTTGGCTGTGGAATGGTCACCTCTTCAGAGAAGGAAAAATATCTTTTTTTAAAAAAATATATTTTATTGATTTTTCACAGAGAGGAAGGGAGAGAGATAGAGAGAGTTAGAAACATCGATGAGAGAGAAGCATTGATCAGCCGCCTCCTGCACATCCCCACTGGGGATGTGCCTGCAACCCAGATACATGCCCCTGACCGGAATCGAACCTGGGACCTTTCAGTCCGCAGGCCGACGCTCTATCCACTGAGCCAAACTGGTCTTGGCGGAAAAATATCTTAAGACACAAAAAAGGTAACCGCAAGTGGATGGCAATTGGGTGTGTGGGGGGATGGGGGCAATTTCCCCAACAGGCCAGAGGCTGGAGCTTAAGGATTCCTGTCAAGAGGATGGGGGAGGGCATGATTTTTAAAAACAGTTTTATTGAGATATGGTTCATGAACCATACAGTTCATCCATTTAAAGTATATAATCCAGTGACTTGGAGTATATCCAGATGTAGGCAACGTTCATGGCAATCAATTTTAGAACATTTTTATCACCTCGAAGAGGAACTCCGTACCCTTTGGCATTGCCCTCACCCCTGAACCTCCAATGCACCCCACCCCCACCCTAAGCAAGCACCGATCTATTTTCTGTCTCTGTGGATTTGATACTTCATGTAAATGGAATCATAAGTATGTGATCCTTTGAGACTGGTTTCTTTCACTTAGCACAGTGCTCTCAAGGTTCACCCATGCAACAGTACATATTAGAACGGTATTCCAAATAACAGCCACGTTTTTATTTATCCATTTGTCAGTTGGTAGGCATGTCAATTGTTTTCACTTTTTGGCTTTCCTAAATAATGCAGCTGTGAACATTCCTGTGTGACTTTTTGTGTGGACATCCGTTTTCATTTCTCTTGGGTCTATACCTAGGAGTGGAATTGCAAGGTCATACGGTAACTCCACATTTAACTTTCTGAGGAACTGTCAGAGGCACGTCTTATATTGCTTTTTCCAATTTTGTATTCTGGAAATTTCCTGTTACTGGAAACAGAGAAAACACAGTGACAAGCACCCCATACTCATCATCCAGGTTCAACAATTGTCAACCTTCCGTCAGTCTTGATTCTCCAGCCTGTCCTTCTCCCCTTTGTTTCCCGCTAAGGCGTTGGAAGCCAGTTTAAACACCTCATTTTATGTTGTTAACGTGGCTAAAATGTCTTTTGCCTCAAACCATCCATTCAGGTCTCCTACACCCACATCCTTGTGTGGATGGAATTTGGGGAGAATGGAGGAATCAAAAACAGTCTCCAGTGGATCCGTGTGGGGTGAAAAAGGAATAGCTTCTGAGTGAAAGAGGACTGGTGACATCATTTGCAAAATGAAAATGTGGAGCCCTTTATTCAAAAACTAATAATGTGTTTAAAATGACAAGAGCAGAGCATAAAACCAAACGTTGGCCCTGTTTAACTGTTCAGGCCACATGCCCATGAGACCAGCAAAAGGCTGCCCAAGCAGAACTTATTCATTGGACACAGGAATTTAGAGCCTTTGGTGCCTAGGAGAGACATACATACCCGTCACCCCCAATCCCTGGACAAGTTCCAAGGAAAGTTGGGTCTCCCGTGGTATGTGGGACAGGGTTCAAACCTATTGCATTTGAGTCTCCAAAAAATTAGATGACCCCAGCTGACATGTGGGTTATAAGTACTTTAAAAAAAATAGCCACTTGTCTTAAGCCTTCTTCCCTAAGAGCCGACAGTTGTTTGACTTGGCCACACCATTGTGTCCTGGACTCGGAGTGTACTCTGATACCACAGCAAATAATAGGCCTGCAGTCTTCACCACAGAGGCCCGCTGGTCAGCAAACAACCCGGAGCTACAGGGGGACCAGAAATGCCCATTCGAGGCAGGTGGCCTGGCAGACATTGGCCACCAGGCATGGCACCCAACCCCTCCCAGCTCAGACACAGCTCCATTATCCTTCTCAAAGAGTAGCCTCTACCCTAACCCCCGCATTGGACCTTAGTTCCTGCACTTATCTAGATTCTCAGCCCAAGAAGGCAGAAGCTCCCAGCCTTTAGTGCACCCGAGGCTGCACTTACACTAACAACCTTGTCACGACTGGGAAGAGGGAGGAGACAACAGATAAGGAGGTTGCAGCTCCTCCTCTTCTCTAGGACATTCAATGAATGTTCATTCATTCCATCAGTGATTTGAGTACCGACTACACATAAGGGACTGTGTACTGGGTATGAGCAGTGTAGTAACCAAGACAGACACAGCTCCTCCCCAGAGGCAGGAGAGGCCCTCGTAAACCAAAGATGAACGAAACATTGTAAGTGTGATTAAAATAATTACGTGACAATTACAAAAGCAACTACAACAATCAGGTCTGAGTACATTCTGGCAGCTCTGGGGTTTATAGACAGCCAGCGCGATTCTTAAAGCAAAGCCCGGCCGGCCGAGAGTGACAGCAGCACCGCCAGGAGAAGGCAACAGAGGTAGGTGGTTCTGTTTTCGCTTTTGCTTTTTTCCTGCCAGCACTTTCTCTCCCACTTCCTGTAACAGATGTGACACCCCGTGGGAATGGCGGAAGAAGGCCTGGGAACACCCATCCCTCGGCTACAGTCAGGGTCCAGGTGTGGACACCTGACCCAATACCACTAATCACAGCAGCCTCCTTCTGAGCCCGGCCACAGTGCTTGCTCCAGGTGTGGTCATGTGACCCAAGCAGGGCCAATCCAGGATTGTCCTAACTGGAGCTGGTGGGAAGGTTGCTTTTCCTCCTCTCCAGTATCCAGCGCTACCTATGCCCCAGATATTGAGGCCAGTGAGCAGAGGGGAGCATAAATGTGAGATGGAATGGAGGAGAGAGGTGGGAGTAGGAGAGAGACTAGTGCTACATTCTGAGCCCAGAGCCTTCCAGTCCCTGGATCAGCTCAGGCTCTCCCTTCTTCATCATAGCTACCCGGGTGAGTAACCTCCCCCCACCCCCATTCTACCCCAATAAGATCAACTTTGGCTTCTGTGTGGCCCAAAGCATCCCAATTCCAGACTTGGGAACTGTTTCCCTCTTCGTGGATTGTGTGGCACTGAAAGGGGTAGGCTATCCTCAGAGCTCATTCTCCCCTAGGTGTGCCTGCTGTACTTGAGAATTACAAGAATCCCTAGACACACGTCCATGTGCCCCTCCCAATTAATTTCCCACGGAATCAGAGCTAAAGACTGCCCCGCCCCCCGTTCCTGCTTGTCTCCATCTCCCAGACCCCATCCCCACACACCTCTCTTCTCCCACCCTGCTCTCCACCATGGACAGAGCACGAAGCTTGTCCTGGCCTCTGCTCTGCTGCCCCCGCCCCCCAACCCCGTGTTGTATTTGTAATGACTCACTTATGAGTGCTCCCCCATGAGTGAGAACTGTGAGCATGGGGGCTCGGGTCTCACTCATCTTTGCACCCCCAGCTGCTGGCACACAACAGGCAGGCAGCCAGCATGGGAAGGAGGGAGGCAGGGAAGAGAGATGGAGGGGAGAAAAGGGTGCTCATTCCTATCTATTCTGGTCCAACCAGTGGGTGACTCGGAAAGTCCGTCAAGTTTTGTATTGGTTTCCTCTACTCCAATGTCACCTTCTGGGAACAGTGCATTCTCCCAGTCCCCTTCCTGGCCCCTTCCCTTTTCTATGCTTTCTTATCCTCTTTAGCACCTTCTACTACTATCAGTTCTTCCCTATGCTCCGTTTATTTTACTTACTACTGAAATGCCACTTCCAGGGGGGCAGGCATCTTTGTTTTGTTCTCTGCTGTATCCTCAGCACCTGTCACCTAGTAGATGCTCAATAAATATCTTTGGAACGAATGAATGAATTCTTTGTGTTCACCAAAGCCACGGTTTACCAAGCTTGTTTCTAAAAAGAGCCAGGCACGTCATGCATTTTACAGGTGTTGTGTAAGTCGGTGATGTATTCGTTTCCTAGGGCGGCCGTAACACATGACAGCTAAACCTGGTTTGAACTGCACAGGTCCACTTATACATTTTTTCCCCAGTAAGTACCTGTGCTGTTTTCAATCTGTGGTTGGGCATCCACAGATGCAGAGGCCCGACTGTATGCATTGCTCTCCGCCAGTGGTTCTCAACCTTCCTACTGCCACGACCCTTTAATACAGTTCCTCATGTTGTGGTGACCCCCAACCATAAAATTATTTTCGTTGCTACTTCATAACTGTAATTTTGCTACTGTTATGAATCGTAATGTAAATATCTGACATGCAGGATGTATTTTCATTGTTCGCGACCCACAGGTTGAGAACCGCTGCTCTACGCCGTTTGATACAAGGAACTTGAACACCTGTAGATTTTGGTATCCACAGGGGGCCCTGGAACCAATGCCCACAGATACTGAGGGACAACTAAGTGTTGGGGAGTCAAAAGTTAAACACGGATTTTTGACCTTGCAGTAGGTCGCACCCCTACCCCCTGCATTGTTCAAGTGTCAATTGTACTACAAACTAAGTGGCTTAAAACAACAGAAATTTGTTATTTCACAGTTCTGAAGGCTAGAAATCCAAAATCTGGCAGGGCTATGCTC